AAATGCATAGCAATTGATGATTGAAAAGACCACGGCCTAATCCAGGTGCACCTTAGTTTTCAAAATGACATCATTGCTCCTCAGTCATTTGGAGAGGCCCCTAATGCTATACATTTCCTGATCACCTAACTGTTAATAACAAGGGTGTTGATTATGGATTCAAATAAGAAAAAAATTTAATCTTTCGCCATCTATCATGATATTAAATACCCTGGGGGTCAGGGTGGGGGAGGAGCGAATTTTTGTTTTATTTTTTTTTAATTTTTAATTTTTGTGTGAGTGTACCGTCAAATCAGATCTGACTAGTACAGGAGGAGATTGTCCCTCCTTCCCCAGCAGAGCATCTGGTGGATTCGAACCGTGCGCCTCTGGGATTGTAGTTGCAGCTCCTTACCACTAGGCCACCAGAGCTCCCCTTGTTTTCTTAATGTTAAGATTTAATCCCACTTTCTATGAAGATGGTGCCGAAAGTGAAACCCTTCCAAAACTGAAGCCAAACCAAAAGTATTAAAGGCCAAGAAGACGTCCTGAAGGGCATCCGCAGTAAAAAAAAAAAGAAGACCCGCATGTCACCCACCTTCAGGCGGCCTAAGACTCTGAGACTCCGACGGCAGCCCAAACACCCCCGGAAGAGCACCCCCAGGAGAAACAAGCTTGACCACTATGCCATCATCACGTTTCCCCTGACAACTGAGTCGGCCATGAAGAAGATAGAAGATAACAACACACTTGTGTCCATTGTGGGTGTCAAAGCCAACAAGCACCAAATTATACAAGCTGTAAAGAAGCTCTATGACACTGATGTGGGCAAGGTCAGCACTTTGATGAGGCCTGACGGAGAGAAGAAGGCCTATGTTTGACTTGCTCCTGACTGTGATGCTTTGGATGTTGCCAACAAAACTGGGATCATCTAAACTGAGTCCAGCGGGCTAATTCTAAATGCAGACTTTTCTCACCATAAAAAAAGAAAAATATTTAATCCCTATTGAAGGCTGTAGTCTTTGCAACAAGCATGTTGAGTCCTCCTCACCTTCTGCAGGTAAGGTTGTGTCACCTGAATAACTCAGGTTGTTGATGACTCTTGCTGATTCTTTTGTGTGTACCATCAAATCAGATCTGACTGATACAGGAGGAGATTGTTCCTCCTCCAGCAGAACATCTGGTGGATTTGAACTGCGGACCCGTGGGATTGCAGTGCAGCTTCTTGCCACTAGGCCACCAGAGCTCGCTGACTCCTGCTGATTCTGATGCCACATTTTTCTTCAGAGTCCAGCTTTGTGAATGATTTGCTCGGCATGCAGACTGAATAGGTATGGAGAAAGGATAAAGCCCTGATACACACCCTTCCTGATTATTTTAAACCATGCAGTGTTCCCTCACTCTGTTCTGAAGACAGCCTCTTGGCTTAAGAATAGTTTTCGCATGAGCATAATTAAGTGTTCTGGGATTCCCATTCTTCTCAGTGTTACTCATGGAAACATCTAGGGAGAGATGTACCCCAAACAGTGATTTCTGAGCCCGCTCTTAGGTCAGATAAACAAACTGAAGTCCTCTGCCTCCAGCAAGGCACTGCCTTTTCTTCCTTTGACTCAAAGAGGAACTGCACACGTTTGTAATCTTTGTTTTCTATCTAGAGGAAGAATGAGATGCTTTAAGTCTGCTGTATTTCTGTAAGAACACCTGCTAAAGTCAAGAAGGATAGGCATTAAGATTTACAGCCTAAAAACAAAACAAAACAAAACAAAAACCACACACACACACACTAAAAAACCAGGGAGCTCTGGCGGCTTAGTGGCAGGAAGCTGCACTGCAATCCCAGAGGTGCGCAGTTTGAACCCACCAGATGCTCTGCTGGAGAAGGAGGGACAATCTTCTCCTGTACCAGTCACGTCTGATTTGACGGTACATGCACAAAAATAATAAAATAAAAGAAGATTTTGTTGTTGGTTTTTTTTTTTTTAAAAAAAAGCTTTACAGCCTCAGAAACCCAAACGAGGGTTGCTGAGTCAGATCGACTCCAGAGTCAGGGAGCTTGGGTTTTGGGCTGTGCTCGGACCTAAGGCTCATGGGAAGCATAAAGGAAACACCCAGGCAAGCACCTCCCCCACCCTGACCCCCAGGGCAGGTTTACTCGTCAGTTGTGATATTTAGGCACCGTGGAGTGGAGTAGACGAATAGGGACTCTATGAACAACAGATCCGAGCCCTGTTCTATCCTGCCCCGTCCTCATCCTCTCTGGGGCATATACCCATTGTGCAGTCACTCCAATGGTGTCTGAATCCAATCTGGGAAAGCTGTGTTATCTGCCAGTGATGAACTCAAACATCAGGAAATGAAATGGAAACGTAGTTCTCACACACAAGTCCTTCATTAGCGAGGGTTCTGAACAAATAAGGCAAGCCTAGGGCATCTCATTTTTCCTCTGGATGAAAAGCAAAATTCACAAAGGTGTACAGTCCTGCTTTGAGTCAAAGGAAAGAAAGAAAATATTAAGGGGGCGGGGCAGGAAAGAAAGCACCTTGCAGAGGCGGAGGCCTACGGCTGGTTCCCCAGGCCTGCAGCAGGCTCTGGAGTCGGCAAGACCCTGCAATCCACCAGCACTCCTTCTTTCCCCAGAAGTCTCCAGCTCTGCCTGTCCAACTCAAGCGGATTCTCACTCACGGCAACCCTCACTGGGTTTCCAGCCACATGTGTGCAACTCAACCCTAACCCAACTCAACACCACCATCTTCGCTCCATCCACCGTGGTTGAACGGGTGCCCTTCTCCTGAATTCAACCCTTTTCCCTGTGTATGGCTGCACTGTTTCTGCAAATTTGACAAGTTCCTGTGCTCTTCTCTGGTTCTACCCATTTATACCATCATGCTTATCTGCACAATTCTTTTCTGAAAGTTTTCCACCGGAAATTAGTAAATTCAGATAACTCACCAGATAAGACCTGACACCTTCCCCAGTGAAGGATAATCTTGCATTTGGTCTTCATTTACTTCACACTGGGCAAATTTCCTTCCAAAATAATAATAGATAAATGACTAGGCTAGGCTTGACAAGAAGGTTTCCAGGTGAAGTATTGAGAAATCACCTTAATTTCAAAGAAGAACTGTAACAGAGTGAGGTCTCTCACTGACTAAGAGCTCCAGAGAGTCCATGCTCTCCAATCACCACTGTCCACCAGATCTCCCTCTGGCCCTGAGGAAAAGTTAAAAAATAACTCCCGATTGAGGAGTTGATTCTTTTAGTGTCCACCACCCCTTCTCCAGGGGTCCCTGTCCCTGAGTGCCCGTTCTCCGGGTTCTCTGTGAGGTGCTCAGGCCCCGTTCAGTCGTGTTTCCCTCTGCGGTGTAGCCTGTGTGTGTGTGTGTGTGGGGGGGGGCGTGTGTACTACTCTCCAGGAAGCAGGACACAGGACACGGAGCGTCCCTGGCTGGAGGACAGCAGAATCTGTAAGTAGCCCATGAACGAAGGAACACGACCTTTCTCAAGTCTCTTCCATGCTCAGCCCATTTCCCAGTCCGTCGCCTGGGACCTGGATCCGGATCATCCCCTCAACTCGCCTTTGTACACCAGAGACCCCACCGTCCTGTGACCCTGTGTACCTCCACGGTCGGTCCAAGACATCTTTCAACCATTCCCCGACCCCCTCAGTCCATCTCCACATCCCAAGGATTTCCACTACTCAGGGTCCCCCACTGTCCAGTCCACTCCTGAGCCAAGGAAGCCCGCTGTGCCATCATCTCTCACTTCCATTCAGAATCCTTCCTCCAAGTCACTCCCGACACACTTCCCCAATTCAAGGATCTCCTCAGTATCCTGGGATTACCCTCTGCCGTCCGCTAGGCCTGGGACCCCACATCCAGACCATCTCTCGCCCATCCTGCCTCGCCTCTGGGCCCCCCGCGGGACCAGACCTCTCAGACAGCTCCCACACTCTCAAGGACTTTCGCTCCGCTGTCCAGGCACCCAGACCCCCACTCCTCATGTGCCCAAAGATCCTGTGCCATCCAGGCACCCCGCACTCACTGTCCAGACCCACCCCCGCCCATCCAGGCCACTTCACCCTCGCCCTGCCCACGACCCCAGCGGACAGGAGCTTCGGGTCCGAGCCGCCGTGGTCCCGAATGACGCGCAACGCCGGCCGCGCGCGTCTCCAGGCCGGGACGCAGAGACCGCAGACCCGCTAAAGCCGCGCTGCGCCAGGCACTTCGCGTCAAATTACCAGCCCGGAATCCCAGGGTCGGGGGCGGAGCCCAGGAGTTCTGGGGGATGGACCAGAGGGCGTGTCCACAGAGGGCGGCCAGGAGGGCGTGTCCACAAGGAGGCGGTCACGGGGCGTGTCTAGGTGGGCGGGTCTGGATGGCTCAATGGAGCTGCCCGGCGGTCGGGGGCGTGTCCGGGCGGTCCGGGGCGTATCCAGGGAGGTCAGGGGCGTATCCAGGGAGATCAGGGGCGTGTCCAGGGAGATCAGGGGCGTGTCCAGGCTGGCCGCGGGCGCTTTAAGGGAAGGGGAGCCCGGCAGCTCCCGGAAGTGGCAGATCAGTGCGCTCTCCTCCGGGAGCGCAGGGTCGAGTGCGCCCGCTGCTTCTCGACTCGTCCTCGGCGTCAGATCGGCCGAATCGTCCGGGCCCTCGGCGTCCAACGCGCGACCTTCCCGCGCCCTCCGGCCCTTCACCCCCACGCTCAGCTCTGACTCCCCCAGCCAGCGAGTACTCAGCCTTTGGTGAACCCCTCTCCGCGGCGCTGACCCATCCCTCTGCCCTGAGCTCGGTCTGTGCTGGAGCCTCTCCTGGGTCCCGTGCACCCCCCTGCGGCGCCCTTGGCCTTTTTCCTTCCGCCTTCGTCTTGTCCCCGCCTTCACCACGCGACCCTAGGCGGTAAGGGCTGGGAGCCACCTTGGACGCAGCGGGCTCGCCGGTACCCCCGGGAGGGACCCTGGGGGCTTGGGCCTGCGAAGGTGGTCTGAGAGGGGGCGGACCTAGCACGTGGGCGCCGGAGCAGCCGGGATGGGGACCCCCGGGCGTTTGTCCCTCAGGCTCTGCTGGGCGCACCTGCGACGCTTGGAGCCCCGGCGGGTTCCCCCGACGTCCCCGGTGTGTCCCCACAAACTCGGCTGGCTTCTGCTGGGCACGTTGCCCAAACTCATCTCAGCCTACGGGGACGTGGGCCAGCGGGTCCCCGAGAGCCTGTGTCAGCGAAGGGCGGCCGTCTGGGACGACCCTGCTGAGCTGGGGCGCGTGAAACTGGTCCCCTGGATGGGGCGCGGCCTCCTCCTGCACCTGCAACTCTGGCTGCGCGCGGGCGCGCTCCTGGCGAGGTTCCTCCCGCTCCTCCTGCTGTACCCCCTCACCTACCTGGGACCTGCCATGGCCTCCTTCTGGCTCCACCTGCTGCTGAGGGCCACGGAGGGCTGCGGCCCCACTTACATCAAGCTGGGCCAGTGGGCCAGCACCCGGCGGGACCTGTTCTCCGAGGCCTTTTGCGGAGTCTTCTCCAGGCTGCATGGCCGCGTGAGGCCCCACCGGTGGGCGCACACTCGCCGCGCCCTCCAGCAGGCCTTTGGGGAGAACTGGGACCAGGTGCTGTGCTTCGACAGCCTGGAGCCCGTGGGCTCCGGCTGCGTGGCCCAAGTGTACAAGGCCCACGCCAACGCTGCCTTCCTGGACGAGGACAGCCTCCGGACCCTCGTCTCCACCACCATCCTGTGGTCCTCCTCTGGACACCCTGGAAAGGGCGTGAAGCTAGAGAGAAGCCTTGATGGCCGGTCATTTCTAGAAACCCTGCTCCTCTCCAAAGCATCCATGGTGGCGATGCCCACGTCTCACCCTGCCCACCGACCTGAGCCAGGCCCCCTCATCCCAGTGGCAGTGAAAGTAAGTGCTGGGGACTCCCCTCCCAGGCCCTTCCCATCTCCAACCAAACAGCCCCAACATCTCTGCTACCCAAGGGGGCTCCCCAGCTTGAGACACCCCAGAACCCACCACTACTTTCCAGTTATTTCTGAAGGGAGCTTCCGTCCTGGGAGACCCCCTAGAGCCTCCTGGTGGTGTCCCTGGCGAGTTGAACTGCTGACCAAGAGCTGCCTTTTGGTGCTTCCCCCAGCTGCTCCCCTGGACAGAGGGAGGTCGGTCTCCCCTCATTGCAGCCTCCAGCCGCAGAAGTGTTGCTGTGAGTGGGAACTGACAGCACGGTGTTCTCTTCCGCTCTTTCTTGAGAGTGTGAGGGATTTTTGACCCTGGATAGAGGCAGTAGCTCAGAGTAGCATTTTCACTTTCTGTGCAGGAGAGCTGTGATTCCCAGCCTGTGCTCAACTGCCTCCTAGCTGCTTCAAACAGATTAGGAAGAAAGGGCTGGTGACCTGCTGGCTCATGTAGATAATGCCTGGCCAGTCATTTGGCCCACACAGCAGCACAGGAACCTAATGAAAGTGAGCTGTTTGCAAAAAAATAATTTAAAAACCCAAACCCATGTAATGCACGTGTTATCTGTGTAAAACTATGTCGTGTTCTCGGAGCTGTACTCTTCTTGTCTGAGTTGTCCTTCTCTCATTAACATACACTCACTGCCCCCAAAAGTTCTTGTCTAACCTTTAGAATTGCTGTTGCCCATTTGATCTCATATAAATGGGTCTTAAAAGAGCATAATGATCAAGCCAGAACTGTGTTACTCACTAGGTAGACTATTGTTTGTTTTTCAGCTGACTTCAGGGGAGAATTTTGGTTTCAGGTTTAAAGATTGTCCCAGGGCAATAGTATTAGGGGTTCTTCTACCCTCCATGGAAGTCTAGAGTCTTTAAGAATTTGGAGTTCAGTTCTGCATTTCCTCCCTTTTCGATCAAGATTCTTCTATAGAATCCTTGATCAAAATGCTCAGTGATGGTGACCAGGTACCGTCCAGTTCTGGTCTTATGACAGTGCACATGGCAGTAGTTCATGGAGTGAGGGACCTGCTCTGATCCCCCGTCTTTGCGCTCTTCTCCTGCAGGTCTTGCACCCTGGTCTGCTTGCTCAGGTGCACATGGACCTGATGCTGGTAAAGATTGGCAGTCGACTCCTTGGGCTTTTGCCGGGAATCAAATGGCTGAGTTTGTCAGAGGTTGTGGACGAGTTTGAGAAGCTCATGGTGCAACAGGTAAGTCTCCTTTCCTTAGCTGTACAGACTTCTCCTACAGTTCTCTCTTTAAGGAGCCTGGTGGTGCACCTGTTAAGTGCTAGAGTGGTAATGGAAAGGTCAGAAGTTCAAACCCACCAGCAACTGCACAGGGGAAACCTGGCCATCTGGTCTCATAAAGGTGACAGCCAGGAAAACCCTGTGGGGCAGTTCTGCTCTGTCCCATGGAGTCCCTGTGAGTCAGTTAGCACAATGGCACCAACAGTAACACAGTTCTGCAGACAGAGCTGCCTTTCCCAGCACTGAATTGTTAGCATGGCGCGATTGTCAGGCTTGGTGATTCTAGCTGATGTAACAAAGAGCACCCAGAGCTCAGTGAGTTAACACAGCAGTTACTTCTTGCTTCCAGCAAAGCCTCATCCCCGTGAGTGGAGGAAGAAGTCACGAGCCCCACAGTGACTGAGGGCTCAGCTCCTCCTATGTGATGCCTGCCAGCACTGTGTGAGACTGCAAAGTCCTGTTAGCTCTCTGTGGTGACCACGTCCCTGTGGCGGGTCCTGTCAGAAGTGTGGTGACCACGTCCCTGTGGCGGGTCCTGTCAGAAGTGTGGTAACTGGGGCCTTGTGGAGGGTCCTGTCAGGTGTGGTGAGCAGAATCCCATGGAAGGTCCTGTCAGCTCTGGTGGCCACATCCCTATGGAGGGTCCAGTTAGCTCTGGTGGCCAGACCCCTGTGAAAGGTCCTGTCAGGTGTGGTGGTCAAGCTCTTGTTCCTCCTCTGTGCCAGTCAAAGCTAATCTCATTGGACCTGTGTAACAGTGCGAGCTTGAGAAATACAGTCTCTTTTTGAGCCTGGAGTAAGTGATCTGATTCTGGTGGAAAGTTACCTCTGTTTCAGTTAGTGGCCAATCTCCAGGCAGAAAAATAGTTGGCAGACCTCATAGTCTGCCTTTGTTTTGCTCGCTTCCCCGGGCTAACTGGGTAGACAAGGGCCTCCTTCCAATCAGGCTCCGGGGGCCTCAGGGCTGCAGTTAGGAGGCATGCAGGGTGCACACAGATCTCTGTAACACTGGCCCCCTTGGCAGAGGGGATACCATTGGACTTGCAGAGGAAGAAGTTAAATCAGAAAATAGCTTCCAACAGTTGTCTCTGCCTTGATTATTCTCCATCTACCTGGCACCTGGCTTTATCCTGTGGTGTTAAGTGTTTATTGTTCAAAATAACTGCCCTAACCATTGACTGACTTTGACGTGTGGATGGCTGGGAATATGCAAATAGGGCAGGTTAGCCTATCCACAAGGGGATTGGCTAATCTCTTCATTAAATTGGCAGATGCCTAGTGGCAAGAAGCTGCACTGCAATTCCAGAGGTACACAGTTCAAATCCACCAGATGCTCTGCCGGAAAAGGAGGGACAATTTCCTCCTGTACCAGTCAGATCTGATTTGACGGTACACACAAAAAAATAATAAAATTTTTTAAAAAAAAGGCAAATGCAGCAGCAGAAGGGAGACTCTAATCAGCAGCAAAGAAGCTCAAGAAGTGCCCTTTGGGGACGGAGATGCTTGCTCCAGCCAGGCCAGGGCCCAAGGGAACAGCTGCAGCAAAGAGCCAGAGCCTTGTGGGCCTGCCGCACCCCTGAATCAGAGCTAGGAGCCCTGCCCAGGTTTGTTGGACAGCTAAATGGTGGGGCATAGAGGGGGCAGGGGAGAGCCGTAACTGGCAGCCCTGAGAGCTTGGTAACACTGGCCTGAAGCCATGAGGCTGAAGCTGTGGCATCTGTGAGCACATGTTGGAAGCTGCCCTGACTAACTGTATTCGACTATGAACCTGAATTAGAGCTTTTGTACTTCTCTGGTGTGATTCCATGTGGTCTATGAGCAATCACAATGGATTTCACGTCCAGCAGAGTAGGATGATTGGTGTTCGGGTGAGTAGGAGGTGGTATGGGAGTGTCGGGGACATGGCTGACCTCATGAGAATTGTTTTTGGGTTGTTGATGTGATTGCCAGGGACAGTTTTCCATTGTGGAGGTGGTAAAGGTCAGATATAACTGTCCGCATGTGGCCCTTGCACTTTTTACATTTCAGTTCTTCAAGCTGCCATCTCTGGTCTCGTTCCATCTGCCTGTCCTAGCCTGTCTTCAAAGGAGCTCTGGTGGCCTAGTCTGTTGGGAGCTATCCTATTAACCCAAAGGCTGAGCTGCTTTGTCGGTTCAAATCCACCAGTGGAATTACCTCTTGTACTACTTACAGCCTCAGTAACCAGCAATAAGTTTGAGTTATTTGAGAGGCAGAGGGAGGTCTCTATGTGGCACCAATGGTTAGACTAGTAGCTGAAAGGTTGGCAGTTCAAACCCACCTAGAGGCTCTTTGGAAGTCAGGGTGGACACTATTTCTGAAAGGTCTAACAGTCTAAAGCAAACCCACTGTGTTGAGTCCATTCCAGTTCAGAGACCCTGCAGGACAGAGAACTGCTCGTAGGGTGTCCAGCACCTTTGTTTTCACGGAAGTCGATTACCTCCTCTTTCCCCCACACAGTAGCTGGTGGGTTTGAGCTCTCAAAGTTTTTCTTAAAAGCTGTGACAAAAGCAAGGGCCATGTGGGGATGGCCACATCTGACCTTTACCAATACCACAAAACCAGTTCCCATGAGGTCAGACATGTCCCCCACACTCCTGCACCTCTTTCTGCTCACCCCAACACCAATCTTACTGCTCTGCTGGGTCCGAAATATGTTGTGAGAGCTACAGACCACACAGAACCACACTGCGGAAGTCAAGTGTATCATTCAGGTTGGTAGCAGAATACAGTCACTCAGCCTTGAGCCTCATGGCTTCAGGCCAGTGTTACCAGTCTCTCGTCCTGCTGATTATGCCCAGCTGTGCAGCAGTCTTGGGCAGAGTTTCCTCTGGTTCCAGGGGTGGCAGTCCCGAGGTCTGCCCCGTCTCACGTCAGGTCTCTGGGTCTCTGCTACAGCTGCCGTGATTGGTGCCTCCCGTAGGTCCTGGACTGACTGGCTCAAGAATCTCTGGCTTCTTCTTTTCTGGTGGTGAGGTTCTCACATTCGGCTGCTGGATCCACTCAATTTATTGGCAAGACTAGCAAGTCCCCTTGTGGACAGGCTCACTTGTCCTGTTCACATATTATTGCCCATTCACATTTCAAGGTCAGTCAATGGCTAGTGAAGCTGTTTTGAACAATAAACCCATAACCCCACCGCAGCCGAGCACTTTATCACTGCCAGAGCAGGTGTGTGTGGAGCAGGCGTGTGTGGAGCAGGCGTGTGTGGAGCAGGCGTGCGTGGAGCAGGCGTGCGTGGAGCAGGCGTGCGTGGAGCAGGCGCGTGTGGGGAGCAGGCGCGTGTGGGGAGCAGGCGCGTGTGTGGAGCAGGCGCGTGTGTGGAGCAGGCACGTGTGTGGAGCAGGTGTGTGTGTGGAGCAGGCGTGCGGGGAGCAGGCGTGCGGGGAGCAGGCGTGCGTGGAGCAGGCGCGTGTGGGGAGCAGGCGTGTGTGGAGCAGGCGTGTGCGGGGAGCAGGCGTG